AACACTGGTGCTCAAGCTTTTGTCAAGCAAAGAGCAACCTTTTTATTTCTGGAATCGATCTAGAAGCTGGGTTACGCCGAAGCTAGACACAACGCTTACGAAAAAAAATATGCATCCCCAAGTGCTCCAGTCCCGAGACCCTGAGATCCGTCCCAGGAGGCCCAGTTTACGCGACCAGGGAAAATTTATTTCAGTGCGCGCTCTGCCGGAGCCCTGGTCCCCCTCGTGTGTTCGTTCCTCCTGTCGCGTGATGTTCTCAAAGAAGAGTTGTTGCTGCTAGAAGTCGTCGCAACTTTGTGGCCCGGCCCGCCTTCGTGAACTCAAAAGCACCGCAGCCAACCTTTTGCCTCTTTTGCCCCCCAAGAGAGACAAGAAGTTGAAGAAGAAGAAGAACCACCATAAAAAAGTGTCGAGACGTTGTCGAAAACACAACCATGGTTGCCGTCACTTCGCGCTTCAGCCGTGAGAAGGTCGCCGAGACCAAAAAGTCTCTGGCCGAAGCCTTCTCCAGCTGGGAAAACCTGAAGCAGGCCCTTCAGGTGAAGAACACCCTCGGATACGAAGAGAGTCGCTATGTCGACGCTGATCCGCTATGGGTGAATGAAGGCAAGCTTGCTTTATGATCACCAGATATAGGGGATAACTTGGTTAACCCCATTTACCAGATCTCGAGCCTACCCCTGCGGAGAAGAGAAGTAAGTTCCAGCTCTCTCAAATGCTCATTCGCGATATCGATTGCTGACCCATCGCACAGCTTGGGACTTCAAGACTTATTGTCTGTTCTACTTTGGTATCTCGTTTGGCAACTGGACACTCGGTTCCGTAAGCACGCTCGCTCGCTCTTTCGTGTAGTTCTCCCTTGTGCACAGAGCTGATGTGTCTATAAGACCATGATCGGTATTGGCCTTAGTTGGTGGCAGTCCATTGTGGTGATCTTTGTGTCACAGACGATTGCGTCTATTGTCATGGCCTTCAACTCCCGGGCAGCCTCGAGATACCACCTTGGCTACCCAGCCATCAGCAGAGCCGTCTTCGGCATGTACGGCAGCTACTACTTTGTAGGCGCTCGTGCTGTTCTGGCTGCAGTATGGTATGGTATTCAGCTGTACTCGGGTGCTAACCACGTTGGCAACATGCTCCGAGCCATTTTTGGAGATGCATACAACAACATTCCCAACCGCATCCCGGAATCAGCTGGAATTACCACCAAGGGAATGCTGTCGTTCATCCTGTTCTGGCTCATCCACTTGATCTTCTGCTTCTTCCGCCCATACCAGTTGAAGAAGTTCTTCTGGTTCAAGGGCTTCATCATGCTTCCCGCTGTAGCAGGCGTTTTCATCTACTGCATGATTGAAAGCAAGGGCAAAGTTGGCAACACGCTTGCCGATAGCACCGTCACTGGAGGACTTGGCTGGGCAATTATGCACGGTATCAATTCTGGCATGGGTAACACCGCCACGTTGATCACGAACCAGCCCGACATTGCTCGTTGGGCCAAGAACCCCAGAGCCTCTATTCTCTCTCAAATCGTTCGTCTCTCCACGAGTCTCAGTCCTCTTTTGGCAAACAAGGAAAACTGACCTGGATTGTAGTTGGTTCAACCCCTCGCGGTCACGCTCTCTGCTACTTTTGGTATCTTGGCTACCGCCGGTATCAATGGCAAATGGGATTTGGAGCTATGGTAAATGAGATCCGTATACTCCGGCCGATTTGGACAATATGCTGACTAGATTCAGGAACCCCTGGGATCTCCTCGATGCTATCCAGGATCACCACAACGGCTCTGGCGCCCGTTTCGCAATCTTCCTGGCTGCACTCTGCTGGACGATCAGCATTCTAGGAACCAACATTGCCGCCAACATGATCTCTTTTGGATCTGATGCGGCTCTGCTGTGGCCTCGTTATATTGATATGAAGCGTGGTTTCTTCATTGCCCAGATCCTGGGATACGCAATTGTCCCGTGGAAGATTCTTGCTTCGGCTACGGTGTTTACCACATTCTTGTCAGGCTACGGTCTGTTCATGGCCAGCGTTGTCGCAATCATGGTGTCTGACTGTAGGTTTTACTTCACTCTGTTCTAGAAGACAACATGTGCTGACTGCTATACAACAGATTTCATTCAGACCAAGGGCAACATTGCCACCGAGTGGCTGTTCAACCCCGGCAAGACCAATATCCACTACCATTACCACGGAGGCTGGAACGTTCAGGCAGTCATTGCCTACCTCATGGGTATTGCCCTCCCGTTCCCCGGATTCGCTGCCTCGCTAGGCGCAACCGGCGTAAACCAGGCTGGATACGACATGTTTTACATTGGCTGGATCTTGTCCTTCACCATATCCTTTGTCGCCTATAATGTTCTTTGCAAGGTCTGGCCGACTAGAAACCAGAAGCTGATCAAGGAACGTGGAATGGCCTGGGAAGAGTGCGCCTACAACCCCATCTCGGATGATTCGAGCAGCGCTGGACAAGAGGAGATGGGTGTGTCGCAGGTAAAGGTTGCGGATAACTCGGACACAAAGAAGGAGGGCGGCCTCTAATGATGTGTAGCAACATCATGGTGTCGAATTGGGTATAGAAAGCACACCTTTAAATATTCACCCTACTCTCAAGAAATTGTCATGGAAACGCGCTGCTGCGAGAACAAACCCGTGAGACAAATTGCCATCAGAACTCAGACAGGCCGGAAAGCGACCAGATCAATCCGACTATGCCGCACTTGAGCCATCACGGCACTGCCAGGCCCCGGACTACCGACACCACTGACAGCTAGCTGCCCATTCCGCATAGGCGAGAAATGGCCTAGCTTGAATACAAGATTGAGAATTTCAAAGAGGGGTTCGTAACAAAATGATTCCAGCTCTGTGTATAATGACGTAGGAAATGTGAACTTTTAGGTAATTTGCACGCCAATTCGGGACTGGACTGGGCGATGACAGCGCGCCTGAAGAGAGTGGCAGGTTCGGGGGAACAGACGAGGGGGTTGCAGCTGAAGCTGAGGACTTACAGGCCTTCCCCACAAAGTCCGGTTACTGCCGCGGACCAAACGCTCCTCAGACACAGCAGCAACCAGGAGTCTCGGGCGCCTAGACCCCGCTACTTACCCCAATCCGTGCCCTCTGTCCAATAGCTGATGGCCCGTACCTGCATCGTTTGCGCAGCACCGACGACGCCATTACATCATTGAAGACAATTGACTTTGGTGAGGAACAAAACAAAAAAGCTGAGACAATCATGACGGTGAATTGCTCCCTGCCTTGGTCGTGAATGCCTCGGTAGGCCGCGTAGGCCGTGCACGAGGATAATCTCTACACTTTTCTCTTCCTTCCAAATTAAGTTTCTCCTTCTTTGTTTTCACTACTCTCTCAAGCTTCAACATCATCCATTCCCTCAGTTGCGTAAAACTTCCTTCTTACATTTCTCAGACTACTCACATAGTCAAGCAACGCAACCTTTCACACAAGATGATTCCCGCAAGATCATTGGCAAGATCCGTCCCTCGGGCGACTGCTCGCTCCTGCAGAGCTACAAAATCTCAGACCCGATTCCAGTCAAGTACTTCTTCATCCTCTTCTTCCACGGGAAGCGCTCCATCCGGAAACTCCCACATTGGTGCTGGTGTTGCTGGCGGCCTGGCAGCTGCCACTGTCCTCTATGGCGCCTATTATTTCAGCCCTTCTGGCCGCATGTCCCGGACCGTCAACAAGACTGTAAAGGAAGCCAACAACAAGTACCAAGAGGCTGCCACGAAGCTGCAACAAAACACTCCCAGCGCCGACGAGACCATCAACTATCTCAAGGACTTTTGCTACTCCTACGTGGCTTGGATCCCTGGTGGCCGCCAATACGTCGACTTGGCCTTCAAGGATGTCGAGACTGTGCGCAAGAACCACCGCGAAGAGGCTGATCAGATCCTCAACGATGCCTACAAGCAATTCCAACAGCTTTCCAAGTCTGGCCTCAGTGTTGAGACAGCCTCCAAGGCCGCCGAGGTCCTGGCTGACTTGTCCCGAAAAGTCGGTGCCCTTGCTGGTGACGCCTTTACTGATGTGCTCGACAACCACCCCCAGCTGAAGGACAAGTTTGGTGGTAGCATTGATCAGCTCAAGCGAATGGGCGACCAGTACGGACCTGAGGCCAAGAAGCAGGTTGACGAAACTTGGTCTCAAGTGAAGGACGTACTTGGTGGCGGTTTGACAGCCGCAAACTTGGACAAGGTCCGACGTCTCATTCAGGAAAAGGTGGAACAAGTCAAGAAGCTGGGAGACGAAGCCTGGTCAAAGGGTCTTGAGCAAGCAAAGCCTTACCTGGACAAGAACCCCAAGGTCAAGGAGCTTATTGAGAAGAACGCAGATGCTCTCAAGCAGGGAAATGCCAAGGAGCTCTTTGAGCAGGCCAAGAAGGCCGTCGAGTCGGGAGACACTGGAGATATTGAAAAGTACGTGAACAATGCTGTGGAGAAGGCCAAGTCTAAGGGCTCGCAACTCGGCAAGAGCTTTGGCTTGGAGCAATACATGGACCAGATCCCCAACGGCAGCGAAATTCTGTCTAAGCTGCAGCAGTTGAGGGACGTTGCCGAGAAGCACTCTGAGGAGGGCAAGAAGCTGGTGGAAGAGACCCTTGCCGAGATCAAGCAGGTGCTTGAGAAGAAGTCTCAAAAGGCCGAGCAAATCGTCGACAAGGCCAAGAAGGAGTCGAAATAAGTGATTAACTGGTCCAAATACTTGCAGTATACTGGCTTCTGTGCCCTTAGTAGATGGAGCTCAGCGATACCCTAATACGAAAATAATTTCAACGCCACCACTTCTTGACTGATAACACAGATACTCTTTTGTGAAAAGTGTATAGTTCCAAGCGTCATTTACATTATACACACGAATTCGTCACCGTACAGGCTTGCTTGAAGCCATCACGCCGTTCGTTTAGGTCAGTGGGGACGTGCTATTGATCATATAGCATCTTAGCTCGTCACCCAACACAATCACATGAGCACTTCTCATCTCGATTAGTATAGTGGTCAGTATGCCAGCTTGTCATTTCCATCATACTTGGAGTGCGCTGGAGACCGGGGTTCAATTCCCCGATCGAGAGAATCATAGAGTTCCGAGTTCGTCGCTTTTTTGCCCGGTCTCGATTTGCCTCCTTTTTGTCGCTTGACTTTTTCTCGCACGGAAAAGGAAGAGCGCGTGATGCTGCCTCGAAACTTGTATTTTGAATAACTGGCACAGTATTACTGAGACATGTCTGTAGTATAATGATATTGATGACATTGGACATTCTACGGTCGTATGGCATTTCCAAAGACTAAAACAATGTGCCGTCTCCTTCGAATAGAATGGGACTAGACTTGGTCTCCGGTCTCAGCTTGGCCGCCAGTTCACGACCACCGAGCCAGCTGCCGGCCTCCAGCATTTGTGCCAGGTTCAGCTTAACTCCCTCCTTTTCAAAGTGCGCCGACACCAGGCCGTGCAGCTCGTCCAGTAGCGCAACCGTCATGGCGCGCCACTCCACAATGGTATCGCCCGTCGCGGAATACAGAGGCAGGCTCTGGCCCGAGGCCTTTTGGCCGGCCGCGAGGACCTCGGGCTTGAGCTTCAGCGCCCCGAGGTCGTAGAACAGGCCGCCGTTGCGGTATTCTGGCAGACCCGTGCCCAGGCTGTCGTTGACGACCTTGATGCCGAGCACGCGGGTCAGGGGGATCAGCAGCGAGTAGCCCAGCCACTGCGTCAGCTTGTGAAAGGGTGCAATAGCCGCCGCCTCCGAGGCATCGCCCGCGCGGTCCGCGAGCACCTTGAGCGGCCAGGCGTCGCCGATGGGGTTGCCGGCCAGGTGCGTCCGCTCCTTGGGCCACGAGGGGATCAGCACGCCCTGCAGCACCGACCAGAGGTCCGTGTAGTCGAGCGTGTTGGGCTCCTTGGCGCTGGCAACCAGATAGTCGACCATGCTGCCGGGCCGGCCCTCGGCTCCAAAGATTTGCGGATCGCCATTGCGCAGTTGCTGGCCCACGGCGTTCCAGAGCTTGACGCGCGACGAGACGCCTACCATGGGGTTCTCGGGCGTGATTTGGAATTGCTGGCAAAACAGCTCTTCGGTTACTCCCTGAAGGGCGGCCGCTGCAAAGATGGGAAATGTTAGTCCATAACTTTAATCATCATCGGAGATATAACATTTTGACCAATGGGTTGGGGAGGGGAACTTCGTACAATCCACGCTATGGGGCTTGTCCTTGTTGGAACTAAAGCACCCGGCCTTGAACATATAGAGGGACGCCACGGCCGTGCCCTCGCTGCGGCTGTAGACGCGACCCGAGCCGTCGGGCTCGGTGAACGTCCACTTGTCGCCCACGCCGGCGTCGCAGAGCACGGACACGAAGAAGAGGTCGAGCAGCCGGCGCGTCTGCTCGAGCTTGTCCCGGCAGCCCTCGGACGACCACTGCGAGAGGAGCGCGGCGACGCGGTCCACGCCGCCGACGTTGAAGTGCTGCCAGCGGCCGTGGGGTGGGATCTCGGCATATCTGTCGGGGCCAAAGTCACGCTGTATGTTTGGTTCCAAGGAGGTCCGGGTCAGTCAAATTGCCTTGACCACACCGGCGAACATTGCCTTCTTATTTTTTTCTTTCTTCTTCCCATTCCTTCTAGTCTCAAGAATCCAATCTTACCTTGATTATATCAATAACAACGTTTGCAACTTCGGTCATGCGCGGCTCGTCATAGTCGAAGCTGTTTAGAGACCCCTCTTTAGCTGCCTGTAGCACCAAGCGGGACCGCTCGCGCACGGCTTGGAGGCTCAAGAGATAGGCAATGTCGGGAGATACAGGGTCGGCCATTTTGTTGCTGTGAAATGTGTTTTGGAAATTTTAAGAGTCTAGATGATTCGTCTCATGTGTATATATTTTGATGAATTCTCTCGTGTTCAGCATCAGATATCCGTTGACCATGAGATAGCTGTCATCTGTAGCTAGGGAGAGGTGCAGTATCGTGTCTCACAGGTCCAATCGATAACCGCAGCTTAACGACGGACCAACGGAACCGGCCGATCGCCGCTGCCAATTTTGTGAGAGTGCATCTTTGTCAACAACGAACCCAATTGATTGAAGTTGTGGGATTCTAACCAAACATATACTCAAATATATGGTCACATAAACGACGAGTATATCATCGTGAGAGCTTCAGACTAGAGTATATAGAGTCGCGACAAACAAGAGTGCGGAATACGTAACCCAAACAGGGATGACGACGGTTCAGGGCGATTATTGATTGATGGTGTGTGTCGGGAGCTCTCTCTATTTTAGGCGGGATGGTCCAAGGGTCCACTCGACTCGGCGTCCTTTGGATATAGTCATATTTTATGCACGACTTTTCACGAATGAATTAAGCAGAAAAGTGTAACAAAACCTCTCAGTCTTGTAGCAGAAAATATGCCTCGACTGGGGGAATCCAGCACAAGCTTCGGCCCGCCAAGCAATTTTATCTGATCCGGCTTCGGGGGCGTTGATGATCTATCCCTGCTGACGAGGGAATAAATTTTTTATCAGATCCGCGCCGTCCAACCACTGGCCGGGCTCCCAGGCTCCATCAGCACACCACACCCACCAGAAACTCCTCCACCAACCCCACATGGACAGGCCACACAAAGTTATCAGATCCGACTTGCGTGTCTCTGCCAAGCCGCCCTCCCCTGCCTCCGACCTGCCGTCTCAAGCAGACGAGCTCCGGTCAGTGGGTGTTCTCGGGTGGTGCTGGACGTAACCAGCAGCCAGCAGCAAGCAGCAGGCAATAACCTGTCCGTGAAGAAAGAGACCACTCGCTGGTCCCTGTTTGTTTCTGCATTAGCTGCGAAAAATTCTGATCGCCGCCCTCCCCTTCTTTCCCACCCCAGTAATCTGTACGCTGCTTGTCGTTGCTGCGTGAAACCTTGAAAACCTTGTTCCCCTTGTTCAGATGGGGTAATGGTCTTGTTCATCAGGTACTTCGGGGTACGAACCGGCACCGCGTGCGCTTGGAGGGGACCATTTGACCAGTAGTGGTGGGTAACTTCAGGCAGGTTTGGCCAACCTACCTCGCATAGGCATGATGCAGAAATGGTCCCTCTTCAGGGCCGTCGACTTTTTGGGGAGCCAGGAGCCAGGAGCAAGAGAAAGAACAAGCGTCGGTCGGTCGTCCGCGCCGAGCTATGACGTGACGCGTTCCCAACTTATACCTAGTACGATTGCAGTATCCCATATTGCACAAGCAGGCAAGCTCCGAATAGGTCACGATGCAGGGACCGCGGGCTGAGGGTGCGCGGAATTGGGAATACGTAAGGGTATAGTAGTATGGTACGTACGAGCCGAGGGGTTGCCGTCCAGCACCCAGAAAGTCGGCCCACTAGAGCTCTCGTCTCGTGAAGATTGAACGGATCTCGGGTGAATCGATATTTTCTGAGAACTGTGAATGTTTGTTCTTATTACTACCATTGCTGCTTATTGCCATTACGATCCTGCTTTTCAGTCATCAGTCATAGAGTCTTGCTACTTTGCTTGAGCTCTCGATCTCGTTGCCGCAACAAGTATACAATCTAGACAGGCATATCATTCACCACTTACAGTCATAATGGTGCTCCCTCAAGACAATGAGCCGGTGCTCAAGCTGCCGCACCCTTACTTGACGCCGTATGTCTTGGAAAAGTCCTCCATCGCCAACAAGAGCGTTCCCTTTTACCAGGCCAAGCCTCAGCAGGCTGCCAATGGCAAGAGTCTGTCAGAGCCTCTTCACAACACCTCTCTCTTCTTCACCGAGCCCACAGACTTGAAGTCGAGCGAGAGGCCGGCAGAGTCCAACAACACTCCCTGGGGCCGAGCTCGACGATCACCCTCTTCGACCTTCCTGTGGGAGGGCGCAAAGGCTCCCACCCTGGGCCAGGCATGGCTTCTCGTCTACATTCTGTTCACGGTCCGACCGCAGATGGAGTACTGCCGTCTGACTCTGGAGGGAGCCGGCAAGGAGAACTTGGCCAAGCAGCTCAAGAGCGTCCTGCTGGCCATCGACCACCCGTCCAACCCCGAGACGTCCGAGGATGAGCTTCTGCTGCTGCGCAGCACCTTTTGGCAGGGCGCCGGCTCGCCCTTTGGCCCGCGCACGGCCTGGATCCCCGAGGACGACGAGCCCGAGACGCCCAAGCCGCTGTCGTCGTACCCGCTCACCCCCTACGAGAACACCATGACCAGCGAGGCCAACACAGTGCTGACCTGGCACCCGCGCCGGCCGGCCAAGCCCCGCCCCGGCTCCGTCATCTACAGCCGCTACATCCCGCACCTCAAGGAGAACTTCTCCATGGTCGCGCTCGACTGGCAGAACGAGGAGCACCTCCGCCTCTTCCACGAGTGGCAGAACGACCCCCGCGTCTCCCAGGGCTGGAACGAGACTGGTACCCTCGAGCAGCACCGCGAGTACCTCAGGAAGCAGCACGTCGACCCTCACCAGATCACCATTCTGGCCAGGTTCGACGACACCTTCTTTGCTTACTTTGAAGTTTACTGGGGCAAGGTGAGTACATCCCCAAATCATAAAAAGAAGACCAGCGTGGAAAAAGAAAAAGAGGCTAACGAAATGACTCTCATAACAGGAGGACCGCCTGGGCGCCTACTACTCCGCCGGCGACTTTGACCGCGGCCGGCACTCGCTCGTGGGCGACATTCGCTTCCGCGGCCCGCACCGCGTGACGGCGTGGTGGTCGAGCCTGATGCACTACCTGTTCCTCGACGACCCGCGCACCATGTACGTGGTCGGCGAGCCAAAGTACACCAACAGCTCCGTGCTCGGCTACGACTTCATCCACGGCTTCGGCCTGGACAAGTTCGTCGACCTGCCCCACAAGCGCTCGGCCTTTGTGCGGTGCTCGCGCGAGCGCTTCTTCCAGCTCTCGCCGCTCGCCGAGAGCGAAAAGGTCGTGGGCGGCACCATGGTTGGGTTGCTGCCCAAGCTGTAGAGAGGAAGAGAGAGGAGGGAAGAAAATGGCAGAGATTAAAACATGAAGGATGTTGATAAAAAAAGATTGCATGTCATCACGTACATTATTTTTCACATAGTAGGCGTTTTAGGTAAAAATGGGAT